ACAATCAAGTAAAATCGAATTCAATCAGAAAAAACGTGACGACGGTGATTAGACGGCGCCGTTAACGAAAGCAGATTCCGATCTCACGGGTCGACGCCGATGCAGCGGTAGTACCAGCCTTCCTTGCAAGATCCGAAGGAGAAAGCGGTGGAAACAGAAGAGATCCCCCTCGAGGGAAGGGGGGAGATCATCCACCAATGAATCAAGATTTCCACCATTCACAATTGGAATTTCCCAGGGATGATTTGAGAGAAACTTTTTGGGAAAAAGAGAAAGCAATTCGCCGGTGGAGAGATTAGGGTTAGGGTTTGGTTGTTGGTATCGAATTGATCGAATATGCCTTATTTATACGACTCTAGAAAAAGGGCGTAACCGGCCGACCCCAACTGGGCTTTCCTATTTTCCAACCCTACATCATTCGCTATTTTTAACATATATAAATTCTCAAAAAACACCCTCAACTTATTTATTCATTACATATCTACTTATATTTCTTTATATAAAGGTTCTACAAAATATATTATTGTAAAAATTATAACCCAATTAATTATTTATATATTATTAATTTTAATTAGATATATTTTTATTTTATCAAAATGAACATTTATTAAATACAAAAATTATATTTATAACATATATTGTGTTTTGTGGTATAATATTTTAAAGTATTTAAATATATTATTGTGTTTTAACATTTTAATATATTTTAACTTTTAAATAAATTCAAAACATTAAGATAAATTTTATATTAATTAATATCAATTTAATAATATATAACATAATATTGTAATAAAATAATCATAATATTTAGGATACACTTATCGTTTTTATAAACTAGAAGTGAATAAATATTAGAGTTGTTGGATTAAAAATGACTTACGAAAGTTTTATATATTTTTGGAGTAAATAAATGATATAACATCAAATTTGTTATTATATTATTCATTAAATGAGATAATGATGGAGATGACTCTCCACCGAATGGAGTAAAATATAATATTTGATGTATTTCCATAAATATAAAAAAAAAAAAAAAGTATATAAGTATGTTATATGAAAATTTAGTTACTAGTTTTTTTAATTTAGGTTTTAAGCAATTTTATGATTTTCATTTTCATATAGGTAACATGTCTAAAATTTATGGATTATATTTATCTATACTTTAAAGTATATTCCATTTTGTAAAAAAAATATAATAATAAAAATATATTACATGACTATATATGAAATCTCAAAAATATCGATCTAAATAAAAAACAATAAAAAAATATTACATGATGTATCAGTTTGGTTTTTTATTTTTATATATAAAAAACAAATTGTATCTTTTGAAATCGTTTTGTTTTTTCTTCTAATTTTTTTGTACATGATCCATGTCAATCGAGTTATTTTGCCATTTAACTTAAAACCCGTGAGTATATCTTAAGGAAATTATTGTTTTCAAAATGATTTAGAGACTATTTTACTAATTTATCATTTCATGAAATACGTCATGAAGTGCATCTTTCTTAATTTAGGTATTATATAGATTAGATTATTTTTGTGGAGGTAAAATGAAAAAATAGGGTCCTTCTTCGTAATATTTTAAAAGAACAAGGTGTATTTTTATAGCTTTGCAGTTTGCGTTTTGTGTGATACACGGCATGATTCATCAACAGGCTTGCGGCTTGTCCCTCGAGGCCTTTACAGCTTCACTCCTCGAATCTCGAAAGAATAAACCTTTATTTTTATTATTATTATTATTATTATTATTATTATTATTATTATTATTAATAACTTGGTTAAAATATGACTTTTTTGTACATATAGTGATGCGGTTATACTCCCCTGAATAATTCTGAGAAGTATGAGGCCGATATGTTTTAGAAATTTTTGACTGAATTACAAATGGTTTTATTGCCTCATTATTCTGCAAAAACTTAGAGTTCCTTCATTTTTTGTTGGATACTTTAATTTTTCATAATATTTAGTACGTCTTTTGTGGGTAGTCTTTGAATTGTTTTAGAGTTTCTAACTTCACATTTTTAGAAAAAATTGAAAGAAAAGAAAAAAGTCATGTGTAATTTTTAGCTTTTGTATTAAACAAAAAACTATAAAAGCTACTTAATTAGGGTTTAACAAAAATTTCTTTTTAGATTTTAATAAATTGACTTAAATACCTTTTAAAATAAATAAATCATATTCATACTTTTAATCATTATCTTATACGATTAAATATAAATATATTTTAACAAGTATAATGTCTTTATTTGAAACAACAATATCAATAGATTTTATAATTGTTAATGAACGTCTAACAAAATAACAAATTTTTATTATATGAATTTATAAACAAAAGTAAAAATCATACAATAATATTGTTTCCTTTATCATGTCGAAACACTTGTAATATACAAAAATTATATGCGATGGATTCTTACAATATTAAAAAGTCTTAGATCATTTACATTATATGTTTGACATATTAGCTGAAAAACTAGATATTATCTGATAGTTAAAAAACTAACTCGTATATGAAAAGTCGGTTGATAGTTTAGAAATTAGCTGATAAAAAATAATATTTGGTAAAACTAGTTGATAAGTTAACTAAAAAATATAACATAACATAAAATGGCATTTTGAATAATATATATGTTATAATTAATTAAGAGCATATTTTCTAAAAGGGAAGTGATTCGTACACAACAGTTTTTTATCATACACAACAATTTATGAATTATATAATTGTACAATACAACACTTTAAATCACAAATTGTTGTGTACGGATAAAAAATGTTGTGTACCAATCACTTCCCTTTTTAAAATGCTCCAAAAATTTTATATTATGTTTTCTATATTGGTAAAAAGCAATTATTAATTTAAAAGATAGTTTACTAGTTTATAAGCTATTTTTTAGATTTCCAAACTATATATATATATATATATATATATATATATATATATATATATATATATATATATATATATATAACCAACTTTCAGGTACAAGCTTCTAGCTTCCGATTATTTTTATGAACATCTCTTAGTATGTTTAATTAGACATGATGAAGCATGCTTATTTATTGTTATATTTGTAGATCTATAAAAAATAATAATTATAAAGATAATGCCAAAGCACTTAGAAAATCACAAGTATTTATGTATGACCTCTTGTTTATTTGTATATAAAATTATTTATTTGATCTTCCGACTAAAAAATCACTATTGAAAATATGAATGTTTAATAATATACATGCCATTCATTTTTATCAGGTTTCTTTTCTAACCTCTATCCTTCTGCTATTTCTACCATGCTTTCGTCAGGATCGGTTCAAACATATTTTGAGTCCCGAGCAAGAAGAAAAAAAGACCCCTTAAAATCAAATATAAAAAAGATTAAAAAAAGTACCATGTATAAAAATCATTAATAATATCATAAAAACATAAAATATGGCCACAATAATTACAAAAAACAATAAGTTTAAAGGAAAATACTACTTTTAGATTTTTTACAAGTAAATCATTGATCATCCTATCGAGATCAATTTTATTTGACATATTTCTCTATATATAATATGCAATAAAATCATTTGAAAAACTTTTCTCTGCAGATGATCCTAAGTAATTATGTAGTAGCTTCAACTTTGAAAATATTCTCTATGTAGATGCAACAATAATATTAATGATTAATAAGATTTTATACGCAATAAAAGTATTTGGGTAACAATCCACAACTTTAACAAAGTTCGAAATTTCAATTGCGAACCCAATCTTATCAGGCATAGTCATTTGTATAACTTTTAATTTCGAAAAAAGATCTTTTGAATACACATGGACACATTGTTATTAGAACAAGTAGTAGCAAAACTTTATATAAAATTTCTTAAGTTCATTTTCACTGTTCCTTGGTTTTTTTTATAAAATTAATAAAGGAAATGGAAGGAAATTGTAACATCCTGAAATAAGATACAATTATCATTCTTGAATCTTTCCCTTTATGTCAAAATCAATCCCTTAATATGATAATTTGGCAAGTTAGTACGTGGGGCGTACGCATGAGTATGTTGCGCGTACTCATGCACCATGCAGATCGCGGAGGTCACCTAGTACGTTGGGCGTACCAAAGGGTAAGCTGGGCGTAATAGGCTCAGATGGAAAACCATAATATTTCATTGGTCCCTATATAAAGAACATTATGGTCTCACTTCTAGCCATCCTTATCAACCTCCAACCCTCTCTAAAACCCTAATCGTGTGTGTGTGTGTGTGTGTTTGCAAGTTTTGAGTGATTCTTGGTTCTTGTAGTTAAAGAAGAAGGTTATAGAAGAAGAGGAATGTGCTATCAAGCTTAGTGATCCAGAAACTCTCCACCTTTGTGCATCATTTTCAGGTATAAAGTTTATACCTTAACTAGTATTCTTCTAGATCTCTTTAGTGTAAGATTCATGAGTTTATGTCCCCAAGTTTAGACCTTTTGAGTATTGAGACTCTTCAAAGAGCTTAAGTTGTCCTTTCATGTATCTTAAAGCACCTAGGTTGATAAAAAATGCTTGTTGATCTTTCTTTTAACCTCATGCATGAGTAAAGTACTTTAGAATGAGTGAAATGGTGTTTTAGCCTCTCCTAGCCATGCAAAGGCTTAAAGCTCATGAATTTATGGATTAAGAGGTCTTAAATTAGTCAGATTTATGGATAAAATGGTTGTCTTAATGGATTAAGACCCTAAAAGTGTGGAAATAAAAGTCTGTGGAGTACGTCATGCGTACTCACCGCTACATGCAATGTAGTTTGAAGGGTCATCGTCGGGTGCTTAGCATGATAGCACGCCCAACGTACTCACTGGGTGTTGACTTTTTATTGATTTGCTGATTTTGACTTTTGGTCAAAGTTTAGGGTCTTGGACCTAGGAAGGGGAAAAAAGGTCCTTTTGCCCTAAGAAGGATTAACTATGGACCTTGGACGCGTGAGTGGTTTGGACCTTAATTTTAATTAAGTTAAATTATTTTGTTAACTAGTCGAAGTCTAGTTCCGGAAGTTTGGGTGCTAGGTTTTAATGTCATCAGTATCAGGTGAGTCTCCTCACTTACTCCTGTATGGTAAGATAGTTGTAATATTATGACCAACAGGGTCTAGCTGTTATGTTGTGTATGTTATGTGCTGATATGAATTCGTTGTGATTGGGGCTGCTGATAGCCAAATCGGGGGTTACGGATAACCTTCCGAGCATGTTGTTATTGATGGGTTTTATACAAACAATCCTATGTGTGCATGCAACCCTAGATTTGGATCTATGTTTTCACTATTAGATACACAACATTAT